TTATTTTTCTGTTGTCTAGTATATTTCGCACGCAAATGAATTTTTGCAACTTATAAAAATTTATTTATGCTAGAAGGCTTTTAAAAAGCATTTTTACACATCCCAGTATTAACCTATACCACGGCTTCAGGACATTTTTTTAAAGATTATTAGCAATTTGTATTGCCCAAATTACTAATAGTTCCGATAGCCTGTGTTACGAGTGGGCTCACCACAATAGTCGAGCGGCAGTGAGATTCGAACCCGCGTTCCTCGGAGATCGAGTCGGCCACTCCGACCACTTCACCGTTGGGCTATTGTGGCTATGAATGCTAATAAATGGGCCAGTGCTGAGAAGAAGCAGCGCAAGGACCAACGCAAACGCAACATTTTACTTCTTGCGGTTTGTCTGCGTCCACTTTTGATATTAGATGGCGCTGTCTATGACATCCAAAGATATCAACAAAATCATATTCTTTCCAGAAATCCCTAGAGCCCGGTAGCGGCGAGACGTCCCTCCCTGAAGACATAGGACGGGAGTGCGCCAAAAGGTTGCTGGATGAAGTGTACCGCGGCGGCGCCGTCGACTCCGCCTTCCAGTGGCTACTGGCACTGTGGATGGCACTGGGACAGAAAGACGTCAGCGAGTGCATTGTGAGTACGGATTTCATACGTAAAATTATTTTTTTATTCTGTATGTTCTTTCTGGAACAGGCTAAGATTTTGATTGTAGCCGCTCACTGGAACAGGCTAAGGTTTTGACTGTAGCCATCACTGGAACAGACTAAGGTTTTGACTGTAGCCGGTCACTGGAACAGCCTAAGGTTTTGACTGTAGCCGCTAACTGGAACAGCCTAAGGTTTTGACTGTAGCCGGTCACTGGAACAGCCTAAGGTTTTGACTGTAGCCGGTCACTGGAACAGGCTAAGGTTTTGACTGTAGCCGCTAACTGGAACAGCCTAAGGTTTTGACTGTAGCCGGTCACTGGAACAGCCTAAGGTTTTGACTGTAGCCGGTCACTGGAACAGGCTACGGTTTTCACTGTAGCCGCTCACTGGAACAGCCTAAGGTTTTGACTGTAGCCGGTCACTGCAATAGGCAATGACTACGAGCGACGAGGCGACCATGCTGCCTAGTCATTAATGCGTAAATACGATAAACAAATTCCACTCTAAATGTCAACACTGGATGGAGAGATTTTGGCAAGATCATAATAGATGACCCAAAGTATCATAAAATGTCTCCATCTTATGATAATAAATTCAGGGTCAAAGGTCACTAATGTCAACTTTATGCAAACATTTCGCTTCCTAAAATTCATTGGAGTGGAGAGCATAAAATTTTCTACAACTTTTGTCTAAGACATTTTTGTTTTCTACGACATTTTGGAAAAGAAGTCGCGACCATAAAGTTATCTATTTTCCAGGTCGGCCCGTTGTCAGACTACACGATAACCTTCCTGCAGCATTTAAAAGAGTTCTTCGGCGTGATGTTCAAGCTGGAAGTGCAGAGGTCAGACGCCGACGAGTCTTCGGACGACGAAGACGGCGTCGCAACCGCTCATAAGATCAAGATGACCTGTGTGGGGATAGGATACGTTAATATTAGCAAGCGGACGCTGTAAATATACTTTAAAGAAAACAGTTTGGTTTTATTACAAAATCCACATAAAACAGTCCTGCAAACATCAATTCATTTACCTATTTATAAATAAAATCGCGAAAATCGAGAACATTTTCAAAATAGATTCGTTGTCTCAGGAATAAAACTAGGTTCAAAGAAAAAGATTGGAAAAAAATGGCGGGAAAAACGTAAATCTCCCCACAAAAACTTTTCCAATGTTTGACAAACGTGTCGAATATCGCTCGAGTCGGTACTCGATATTATTTAGAGTACCAGGAGCACATAAATTCAAGACTATAACTTTCCTTGCCCGATATCTTCCGTCTCTTTCTCACTGTTGGTAAACATTATCCGTCTCGTTTAAAAAAATAACTATTTGAATTTCGTCTTTTTCCCACCTATAGGAACTCCGTTATAGAGCTGTCTCACCATGCAAACATATTGTCCATTATTGTGGGTACGCGTACATAAGTAATGGTAATCTTTTGTTTTGTCTCCTTTCCACTTATAGAAAATCGGCTATAGCTGTCTCACCATGCAAACATATTGTCTATTAACGGGGGTACTCGAATATTATTTCCTACGTTAACATAGTTGGCCATCCTTTTCTTTCACCGCATAAATATTATCTATCTCACCACAGATCTCTCATTCGTTAAGCAAACAATATGACGAAATTAGTTTTGTCTCCTTTCCACTTATACAAAATCGTCTATAGTGCTGTCTCACCATGCAAACATATTGTTCATTATGTGGGTACTCGAAATATCTCCTTGACATTTATGCGGCCCTGGTACTTTTCACAAATTCTTGTTTAGCCAATAGCCTTTTTCATGAGAAAAGGAAATGTGGGTTGACATAGACCACCTCTTTAGTATTTATGGGTTCCTGGTACATTTCAAGCATTCATGACTTACGGTTGAAAGAAAAAGAGCACAACTGGCACAACCGCAACAGCAGCAACAGTCCACCAGTTCTGCGGTTACCCCCCACTTCCTTGGTATTCATGTATTCCTGGCACTTTAAACGTATTCATAGGTTAAATGAAAAACCTTACCGTTAACAATCAACCAACCGGTTGTGCTCTTTTTCTTCAACAGTAAGTCATGAATTCTTGGAAAGTACCAGGAACCCATAAATACTAAAGAGGTGGTTTAGGTCTACCCACACTGTTTCCTTTTCTATCATGAGTAGAGTGAGGAAAATAGGCTAATGGCTAAACAAGAATTTGTGAAAAGTACTAGGGCCGCATAAATGTCAAGGAGATATTTCGAGTACCCACAATAATGGACAATATGTTTGCATGTTGAGACAGCTAGAGCCGATTTTCTATTAGCGGAAAGGAGACAAAACAAACCAAGTTCGTCATTATTATTTGCATGACGAAAGCGAGACGGCTAATATTTATGTGGTGAAAGAAAAGGATGGCCTACTGTGTTTATGTAGGAAATAATTCGAGTACCCACATTAATGGACAATATGTTTGCATGGTGAGACAGCTCTATAACGGATTTCCTATTAGTGGGAAAAAGACAAAACTCTGCTAGTAATTTTTGTGGAAAGCGAGACGGATAGTTTTTACCAATAGTGAGAAAGAGACGAAAGATATCGGGTAAGGAAAAAACTCTTGCATTTATGTGCTCCTGGTACTCGAGATAATACCAACACCATGAGATGACGGTAGTCCGTTTGCCTTTCGACTACTCATTATTACTGTTGATGAATTATTGAATATGTTAATTAATAAATGAAAATGATAATAAGGTTGTAACGATTGAATAAAACAACAAAATATTTATTTCTTTTTTATTACTTAAAAATAATTTCACATAAATCTTATAAACTAACGATTGTAAAATAATTAAGGCACATTTTGAAATAAGTTTCCTTTTTCGTTACTCGACTTAAATAATAATTAGGTAACAATAATATTATTGGAAAAAGGAAATAAAGATACTGAAAGTCGAGGAAAGTAACGATATACAAAAGTAAAACTTACAAAAAGTGTATAAAAAGATAGATTATACATTTGGCAGTGACCGATTTCAATAGGTAAAATATTATTTTGACTTAGAATATACAATTTTACTACAGAAACGTAACTAAACTAAGTATTAAGATTGTCCAGTGCAACAAATACAAGTAAAATAAAATAAGTAATGTACAAAATCATTTTAATCTTGCACCTTATTATAAATATGTTTTATATCAGTCAAAACCCACTTTATCACACAGTATAAAACGTATATTAATCAATAGTGGTTGAAAAAATTCAGAAAACTAGCGTGCATTTTATAAGTACTTTTTTATATTGTTGAAAGCATAACTATGGTTTATTTCCATTATAGTGTTTTTGTTCAATAAATAAAATTAGTAAATAGAAATTATTTTGACCCAGATTATTTGGGATTTTCACACCAAACTAATACGGAACTCTCCCAAACCCTAAAGATGCGAATTAGATTTCCTACGTCTTCAACGTCGTTAACAGGATACAGTCCCATTTGTTCACTCCAAAAGTATTTATAAAGATTTATGGGATTGTGGTAACACATCTTACTAGATACACATAATTCATGAAAAATCTCTATAAATGGGCCAACCATTAAAAGAGGCTCTTGTTGGAGCCATTTTATTTGGCCATCAGCTGATACTGACTGATCTGTAAACTTTAATGAATGTTATAATGTCTACTGAACTAGTAGATGAGATTTACCTAGTTTTGTCTTAAACGGTAGGGCCAAATTCATAATTTTTATTAACATTCCACTAGTTCAGTATGTATCATGGGCTAATGGCTAAACATTGTGAACCATATTAATGATTCATTTAGGCTGGCACGGATGAGTAGGGTGAAATTTGGAATAATACGGTCACTTTATGTGAATAAAATTAATGTTCACTATTGTATTTGTTACGGTTAATGTGATAAATTGAAAATTATTAATAATAACCGGTTATTATGAATAATTACCGACAATCGCGGTAAAAGTGATAAATTAATCACATTTAACAGTGATTATTTAATAATTCAACCTTAGTAGGTAACAAATTTCATAAAAGTGAACAACATCTTGTGTACGTGCTCGTGTACAACCAAACTTTTGAACGTTTTGATATCATATATTAATATAATTTGGCATAATGAGTTTGGAATTTTTCTTGCATAATATTACTTTTCCATGATGCCCATAACATAATGTTTTGATTTAAAGTGAAAAATAGGTTAAGGTGCGGCGGGGGTGGCCCTTGGGCCACCCCTAAGCCGCCTATTTAGTTTTATACACACATAAATGACCTCATATTAATCACATTTACCAAATCATGCGGTAATTATTCATAATAACCGGCGATTATTCATAATTTTCACATTTATCACTTTGACCGTAACATATTTACGCTCATCAGTTGTCGCCATTGCAATGCATTGGCGAGCAAGAGGACCTCATTCGCCAGTAGCCCCATAAGTTACACTTTCTATACTTGGAAACTATCCGTGCCAGCTACATAAATATAAATAAATCCAATAAGAGCCACTTAAATGACATTTCTATGTCGACAAGTCTATGCGGATTCTGTAGAGATGAAGTTACTGAGCTTGACTTGAATACGCCATCGGGTCTAAAGCAAGTTGTCCACGCGATAAGTCGCTTGACACTCGATGTACGTTCGATTTCAATGTATTGAAAACCGTGAATGACCATGCTTTCCGTTCAACTGCCCTCCTCAGAAGTCAACGATTTTTTTACCTTTGGCTGGTTATTTTATGAAATCGGTTGTCTATGGATTCAAAATGTCAATTAACTGGCTCAAATCAAAACTGTTAAGGCGCCTTCAAATTAGAGGCGCAAGGAGCGGTATAGTGGTGTCACTAACGACGCGCTTGCTACACCACCATTTTTCTTACAATTTCTAGAAGTGTAGCTGCGCCCGCATCTATTTTTAAGGCGGCTTTAAAGAGGATCACTTAAACGTCCTTCTCGTCGCAGCCAAGCCCCGCCGACCAGTTACAAATGCCCCCCACGGGGTCGAAGCTGAGTCCCTTAGGGCAGATGTACGCCCAGCCGATAAGGTTGCCCGTCTCCTGCCGGGAACACGAGATGAACTTCTTGCAGGACGTCGGGTGCGGGAAGTTGCCGATGTCTAGGCATTCGATTGTACCTGTAAGAAATATTGGTTTAGATTACACACTATTTTTATTTGCAAAACGACGTCTTGCTGACCGCGACTTTATATTTTTCCCCTTACAAAAAAAAATTGGGATACATGATTTCCATTTGCGGAAAAATAATGTGATAAACAACACATATGATTAGTGTTCACCGCACATGATTCAACCTCGTAGAGATCTTTATTTGGAATACTGGGCTTCAGAAGACCTTTTCGCTCCAAAGATTTTGGTTGCTCCAAAATTCTTTGACACTGCCATTCTAATATAGATTCAACGATAAATTTAAAAAAAATAGCCAATAGGTAAGTAGTAGGAGTTTAACATCTAGCGTCTAGGAATCTACTGAATCTACAAAAATGACGAGTAAAATTTTATTTTAAAAGACTCTTCTCACCTTTTCCATGCAGAACCACTTTAGCTCCTTCGATATACTTCTCCGCCACCTTCTCTTCCCCGTCATCATAGTAGTCATAATTCTCTATCGGCCTGTAGGTCCTCTTAGGCTCTGCTGGCTTGATTTTCTCGAAGGGCTTTGCCCTGACCTGCCCCCTTCGGACCGCAGGCTTGGGGGTCGTCACCGGGGCTTCATAAGTTGGCGTGGTGGGCCTGATGGTGGTGGAGATCTTCCTTTGAAGCTTCTTGCGGAGGACTTTGCGCGTGGACGTTTGTGGGGTCGTGACAGGTGACAGGTATTGGTATTCGTCTGTAATTATTGGATTTTGTTAGTTTTATAAATGCGAAGCCGCGGGAAAAACAAGTCAAGATTAAGTTGGGATTACGCCTAGAAATCTATAGTGCTACGATTCTACTTATAGCAATATTAATAAACTACCTATGTTAGTTGATTAATATTATACAAAACAATATTCTTGACCTAGACCTAACCAAGCTTAACGAAACAAAAGTAGGTAACCTTTGGTTTATCTTAATAAAAAATCTAGATTGTATCTGTTTTGTTATAGATAACGAGTAAATATATATTTATATACTTAACTATCGTCAATTATACGGTATTTTAATATTCATAGCGTAATTTACTCCAATTATCATAACTAGTCCGCAAATAAACGAATTAAGGTGCGTGAGAAAAGATTAAAGTCGACTTGTTCTCATTATTGTCATAACTGTAATACCTAAATTAATTACGTTTATTACTTACCATCATAGGTCTTGGTAACGGGGGACTCCAGTAAGTATTCCCTTGTGAAATAAGCTGGCTCCTGGCTCACTCCAGTGTATTCTCCCGTCGAGAAAGCGTAGTCTTCTACAGGAACAGGGATCAACTTCTCACTGGACGATACATATCTAGGAGTTGAAGACCCTCGAGTGGTTGATGCAAATCTGGGTGACGATGAGACTATAGGAGGTGGTAGACTTGATAGTCCAGGATTAGTTGGAGGCACACGTCTTAAGGAGTTCGTTGGAGACACACCTGTCAGGCCAGGGTTGATGATTGTCGGTGTAGGGACAGCAGAAGGGCTTACATCTTTGACAGGGAAAGTACTGGACCTGAAGGTGGATTTTGGAATGTAAGTGGTAGTTGGCGGAACTCTTGGGACGTCAAAGTTTTCTGAGAGACCAGTGAAGACCTGCCCAGTAGCTATGTAGTCTTGAGTAGACGCGGGCGTTTGGTAAATTGGGGTGCTGGTATACTCGTCGAAGTAGACCGTCTTTCTGCTGTCAGTATACGGTTCAGTTTCTGTCTTTCTGCCTCCAGTGTATGGTTCTGTTTCCGTCTTTCTGCTGACAGTGTACGGCTCAGTTTCCGAGCTGGTGTAGTATTGCTGGGTTGTGGTGATGGGCGATTTCTTCGTGGGGTTGGTGTCCTCTTCGAAGACTGGGATGCTTGGGATAGGCGCCGCGAGGAGCTGGTGCGCTGCGATAGCTACTGCAGTTTCTGCGTTGAATGCTGAGAAGCAAATATTTTCTTTAGTTCAAGAAGACCGTATTTGAGTTATAGATCTAGTAATATGACTTTCGCAGATAAAAGATGTTTGTAAATGTTCCTTATTCAAAATACCTCGTAAAAATATTTAACTTTCCAGAATAAAAACAACGTGGTCATATCAGATTGATATACTGATTCTATTAGATTAGATATTGCGTTAACATTCTAGATTAAAATTAGAGAGCCTTTAGGCTCTTTAATTTCAATTCTTTAGAATTGAGTTGAAATTCTATTCACAAGTTAGATTTAGGTATTATTTATAACACCTTTTTTGACGCAAATAAAAGGAAAGGTCCATCAAGAACTTTACGTTGAAAAACTTGTCAATGCTTACCATCAATAGTAGTTCCCTTTCCTTCCGTAGTCTCTCCACTCTCCTGGCTCTTAGCAAGCTGCCTCAACTTCTCGTCCAGCTGGTTCTGTTTGAAGCTGGCGCTGTACTTCTTGCTCTGGCGTTTGGTCTCGTCCTCATTGGTGGCTGAGGGGTTCTGGTCGCTGGCGGTGTCTTTAAGGTTGACTAGAGGACGCCGCTGGACTTTGAAGGTCTTCTTTTGGGTGGCCGGGCGAGGCTCGAGGGTTGGGTCTTCAATGATGTCTGTTAAAACGTATATACTTAGAGTATTTCTAATCAAAATGTAACTGGAGTAAGTCATAGGATCGTGTATTGTTAATTGACCGTGCCTGATCAACTTTTATCCTTATTCTTAAAATATATCTAGCATGTAAAGTGTCAACAAGTTCAATAAAAGCTTTAAAATAGGTACTAATCCTCCAAAGCAGGGGCGCCCCCCGCCCCCCGGGGGAGGCGCTAAGACCTTCAAAGGGGGGCGCGGGCCATCTGTGTAGTTATGTATTAAAAAACATGCGACCGCTGAGAGAATACATTCCAGACTGATACGACCAATAAATAATCTGGACTGGAGGATGGAGGGCGCGGATAAGTTTTATGGTCGGAAGGGGGCGCGTCTCAAATAAATTAGGGAACCCAGGCCCAAAGTAAATCTTTCAAAAAAATCGCTCAATTTTTTTTCAATACAAATCCTTACCTACAAGAATTAGACACCGAACTCTTTCTGACTGTGGTAATTACGCCACTGTTCCAAAAAAAACGTAAGCTTTCCAAAGTCCTTAATTTTGAACAGGAATTGGCTGGCAGTGTCAATTTACTGACCTGTATCCTCAATCTCCTGCAGCGACTCCTCGCTACCCAGGCCCGCTGTGGAGTCGGTGCTGGTGGTGGCTTCAGTAGTGGTGGTGGTGGTGGTGGTACTAGAGGCTGGTCTTCGGCGACTGGCCACGCGGAAGGGGCGGCGCGTCAACCCGGCAGAGGTGGAAGATGAAGAAGGCAATGGTGTGGTGGTTGACGCTGTAACAACAAGGTTAATGATGAAGATATTGAAGGATTATTGGGCTAGATTTAAAGTACATACGATTACATATTTAGGAAAAAGTCATGAAATAGGTATGAAAACATATTAGGCGTCTGGGCAGTGGCACTTAACAAAATATCACACAGATCCTTGAAAATACAGTGCATAAAAAGATTAAATTGTGTCTCGTAAAATAGGAAAATAACTCTGAAAACTCAGAAACGAGCCAATTTAAAAGGATTCCTACTCAAAATTTGCGTGTATTACCTTGAATTCTGTACTTATTTAAGCCTAAACGAAAACATATAAAAAGCTATGATTACCAAGTACCTATGTAGCTATTTTTTAAGTTCATTTCGTACCTATTAATTTTATCAGTTTAAAGTTCTAATATACAAAACAAACGCGTTTAACATCCGTAACACAATTTCATTGTATTCATTAGAGCTTAATTAGAGGAAGTATTTACACAATACACAGCAAATATGCAAACAAGTCTTGGAATCAAACCTTGGCATTGAGGTGGCCTTATTATTCGGTATTAACCCACATACAGCTGCCAAACAGACAGACAATGCGTTTGTTATAGTTACGAAATAAAACCTATTTTGATACGATGGTGGCAATTTTAACGGCCATTTTGCAATTCTACATAATCAAAGCAACAATCGAAAAGTTTTAATAATGAGAAAATACCAGTGGCTTTATTTAAATCATAACGATATAATGAACTCATAACATTTTTTTGCTGGCAGAAACTGTACTACCTACTTGAGCACCGCGCCTCTTATTCTTTATTGTATTAATGATTAACGATTTAGTTAGATCATATTTTATGTAAAAAAACGTAGATGTTAAAAAGACATGTTTCAAGTTGGTAAGATATTACAGGATTGTTAAATGTTATTAACAAGCTAATAAGTACCTAAACATAAACATAAAAAAATACTTGAAGGGTTTCAAAATAAGGATAATGAATCCGTAGCTCGTAGCAGTCGTAGCTACGAGCTGTCTACATCGATTGTAGCTCACAATAAAGATAGTGATTAAACGTGATTTTACACTTGAAAAAAACGATGAACTTTTCTGGCCACAAAGCTACGAAAATCAAAGCAGTCAACATTATAATTTGTTTGTAGATATTACCACCTACGAACATACTGTAGCATGAATTAAAGTCCCACCATTGGCAGTTCATTTGTTTTGTGATTGGGACTACCTGAATGGATTGATGATAAACATTTTCGGGACTATTCCCACCTCTCGTTCCCACCGCTGCAACTCCTGTGTAGCCAGGATTTACAGCTTGACCGCCAATAAAAACCCAACCAGTGAAGGTCAAGTTTGTCCCGGGGGAAAGTTAAACTGTCATTGGACCTTAATCAGAAGAACTTTAGAGGAGTTCGAAGTTATGGTTCGACTTCCCTCCATGGTAAACAGTTGAAAAAACAGCCATGATGGATGGCTCATCTCGTCAGCATCAATACCACGCATCCACACATTGTTTGTCAAACCACAGACCGTGGAACGGAAGCATAGACAATGATTCATTAAAAACAGTAAAACAGTATCAACAATACGGTTATATCATTACAGTGGTTTACAGTTGGTTTATGGCACTTAGTGTGTAATTTATGTGATTAGCGTTTTTGGACGGTAGTTAGAGAGATCGGCTGATATTTCGTGACTTTCACACAAATAATACCACCTACACAGATTTTCAGTCAACGCCCACAAGTGTGATTATTTATCTGCATTTTGCTCTTTGATGCACAGTGAGCCACAGTTCCCGCCACCCATTTCCGATCATGATCTCGTTTTATAGTAAAGAATTACCATTTGACAAGAAAGAAAGGAAAAACGGAAATGTGTAACTGGAACTTGCTGTCAATATAATATTTAAAAAGAAGAAATATTTTTAAATGAATACCGGTATCCAGTGATACAGTACCTACGTAATACGATTACGTTAAAACGATCACAATACAATGACTTTATGCATGAAAGTGGAAGCATTGACCTAAAGCGCGGAAGAGTCAAACTTAACCTCGATATATTTAATTTATATCACGTCAAACCTCATACTTCCACAATCACTTCACCAAAACTAGATTCAACACGACATGGATGTACTAGAAACTCATCTATCATATCATTAATATTAAAAAGCTGATGAGTATTTTTGTTTGATTGAACGCGCTAATCTCAGGAGCTACTGCTTTGAATTGGAAAAATATTTTTGTATTAGATAAGTAGTCCATTTATAGAGGAAGCCTATATGGCTGTTACCGGAGCAGCAATGATTTTTTGTATCCCTCGGGCTTGTTACAGTGGGTTCAGTACAAAAGCCCAGAGGTGGTAGGGTTCGAACCCGCGTTCCTCGGATCACTATTCGGTCGCCGATTCACCGTTAGATTATTATCGCTAAATGTTGCACGTTTTTTAACTATTTATTTTCACGCAAACGAAGTCGCGGTCACAGCTAGTATACAAACAAGTTGTTACATGGATACCGTGAGAAGTCGATTCGCACGAGCTTGATCTACATTCTCCGTAGCCCAATTCTCGGCTATCAAATCAACACTCAGACCGATTATTCCCAATGATCCGTGATGCAAGCGCTACAGGTAGGCTGCGCAAGAGTGGATATACAGCAAACGTCAGTAGGTTCATTTTGAACAACTAATAAATGTGGTGTTTATGTACTTCTGAGGTGAGGGATACTCGATTATTGATATTATATGTCTCATCTCTACTTCTAAAATTTTAATTCATTTTTTAACCAACTCAAAGAAAAGAGAAGAATCTCAATTATTCATCCAAATTATTTTTTATTGCAAGTAGGTTGAAACATTGTCTATCCTAAAGGCTATCGTTTATAGCTATTCCTACAGCCAAGCCATCGCTAACAATTTTGGATGAAGAGAATTTTACAAAAATAGTAAACATTCTAAATAAACATGACGATATTACTCGTATTAATAGTATGCAATTTTCCACACAAAACTGATAACTCTAAGTAAGTTCGTAATATAATTATCTATTTTGGTTAGTAGTGACTCTACCTACATCATGGTAAGCTACCCGCTCGATAAAGCGTACTTACTGAATCTACCTCCTCCACCGCACAGAATACATTGAATAATTATAAATTGAACTCATTTCTTTCTTTGATACGTTTTGCAACTCTTTAGCGCTGGAAAAAGCGACCGAGTTCTGTCGATATGGACGTGGGAAAATATTAACTGGAGTTTATACTGATTGGAGTTTAGTAATTACGTGCCTGTAAAGAGAAAACTTACTGTTCGTTTTTAATTATTTCAAGAGAGTTTATTACATTCTTTTACTTAATTAATTATTTACGTGACGTAGTGAATTTAATTACTTCTCTGAATACCTATATAGGATTTAGGAAATAAGTCGTGGTTTTTTTATTAAAGGTTTGAATTTACTATCCTAGCCAAAATACTGTAACGGAGTGGAAATATTTGGGACAATCTTCGTAATCACCTTTTCTTAATTGAGTAATCAGGACTTGGTTCATGCTTGAAATCTGATACAATTACCTGTCTAATATGGCGAGCTGTTTTGATGATTTTCATATAACCTACGAGTACATACATATGTATCTGTCATCGACTCTTAAGAATCCTATCGGGGTTCCTACCCTAGCCAATACTAAGAACTATATATTTTTTGTATTTTATTAATTTCGTAACTTTTATGATCAGTGTTTGTTTTTATAAAAATAACAATGTACCTGCTAGATAACTAAGTATTGCGACTAATCGCAGCGACTATCCGCACCGCGTGAGAACGCAGCCCATTTGCCGATCGCAATGCAGCCCTATTGTGCGTCCCACGGTGTTGTTGTGCCATCATACTTTTCAGTTTTCTTGGGAAACGCCAGACCTAAAATGTTGCTTGCTCAATGGATTTAGAGATTAGAATTTGTGACGAATTGCTTTATAATAGCAATGGTCTGAATGAGATATGACATGGGAGTTTTAACTCTAGAACATAATTAAAAACAAGAAGTCAATGTTTAAAAATAAGCTGTGACGTTTAGTATCTAACTAATAGGCTAGTTGCCACTATTTTTATTATTTGATAAAACGGTTCATTACGATTATATTACACCATAAAAAAAATATGAATTTTTTTGAAGTACCTATCCTAATATATTTTAAATTTTAAATTATATTTTATCTATACAGCCATAAACGCCGTCCGCCATGATGGTCTATTAATTATCTGTGCCGTGACGTCACTATTCTTGTAAACAATACGCGTGAATAACATAACCTTTTTATCGATTCCGTGGAGGGTAGTTGAACGGGAAGCATGGTCGATCTGTTTTAATGGTTTCAATTTATTATTTAATGGACTTTAGTGTACAAATTTGGTGTTATTTTGTGTTCTAAAGTGCAGTGAAGTGATAAATTATAAAAAACATTGAAATACTNCCCAGAGAAGTTGTGAATTAAAGTACCCAGTGATGAGAATATGCGGAACTCCTGGTTACAACTAGCTAAAAGAGATCCCGTAACTCTGTCCAGTTGAACTGCAGTGTATTTCTGTGAAGCTCACTTTAATGTACGTACAATAAACTAACAGCAGATTATTTTTTCAATTTTCACTTTAAACGTTCAGGTGAGGTTATAAAATATACTAAGTCAGTCAATTTTAATTGCATGTTGATCATCATTTAAATGATTTATTCATGTAATTTGTTCGTTTCAGAATTGCCTAAGGAGGATGCTGTACCATTCTTCTGTTGAGGATAAGATTTGTGACAAAATAATGCAAGCAGAACAATGTAATCCTCAGTTCAGAGATAAGGCAGTGCAAGTTGAGCCAGAACATCAACATGCATCTTGCCAAGTAGTTTCAAATTATGATCACAAGGTCACTCAAGTATCAATAATGAAACACTATAGAAGTAAGAAGGTGCAATTTAGTGCAACTCTGAAAGATGTCATATTATCTTCACCAATAAAGTCTACGTCCCACCAATCAACTACAACATCTCCCAACAAATCTACATTTAGAAGTAAATTGTCAACAAGAAGATTAGTTTTTTCAAGTGAGGAAAAATAAATGACAGTGATTATCATACACACCTTCTTCAGGATAGCAAATTTACAAGACTCTTTCATTCAATAAATTAAATGATGCATACATAAAGTATTTTATTTTTATATCAGTCTATTGTACAAAATAGCTTTGTTTTATGGGTTATACTCGTATATTCATACATTATTAAAGGGGTAATTATTCAAAAATTAGTCTCCCTACTACGTTGTAAGAGGAACTGCTGTGCAAAATTTCAAGTTTCTTACCCTTTTATACATGAGGCAAGAGGTTATGTTTGATAGCATTGATATGTCAGCCAGTCAGGTAGCTTCTTCTTTTATACTACTGGTTTTCCCATGATTTAAGTTTATTCATCTCATACATACATACACATACAAACATCTTTCTATAAAATAATTTATACTATTAGTAAACATTAGATACGGAAACAGATTGATCGAAAAGAAAAAAAAATTGTTAATATCTTCGTTGCTTTTCTAATTGGATAAATCAGACAAAATTTTGAAAAACAGCAGGTGACAACTAAAATGTAACTATTTTGTTTTCGACTAACAGGCAGAGGGCCCATGAGGTCAATTGAGACCATTTGAAAAGGACGAGAGCATTGTTTTGGACGACCCATGACTCCCAGTATTTGATGATTAGAAGTTTTATATTCAAGACATTTTTGACAAGAACCAACAAACTGAACTACATCACTGTGCATTCCTGGCCAAAAGTAACGCAACATGAGGCGATGGTAAGTTTTAAATATGCCCAAATGTGCAGCTGTTGGTTGCGAGTGATTTTCTAAAATAACATTTTCACGTAATTCAGAAGGAACTACGATCTTCCACGAAAATTCATTTTGCAATTTACATTTAACTTTAGTCAACCTATACAAAATGTCGTTTTTAATTAAATAATTTGGAAAATGGTCTGTTAAGGCAACCGTTAAAAATTGTTTTGTACCACACGTCTTTAGTGTCCTTTATATCGGAGGAGGAGATAGCACTAACTGGCACAGACCGCGATAGGGCGTCGGGTATAACGTTGTCTACACCACGACGATGTTTAATGTCGAAGTTAAAAGATGACAACCGTACTCCCCAACGAGCCAAGCGACCAGTAGGATTACTCAGAGAGAGGAACCACTTTAAGGCGCTGTGATCTGTATAGACAGTGAAAGTTTTGCCGTTCTCTAAATAACACCGCCAGTGCTCTAGAGCAGTTACCACAGCTAAAGTTTCGCGCTCAGTAATGCTGTAATTTTTCTCAGCCGCAGATAAAAACTTACTCATATAAGCGATAGGATGCTCCTTACCGTCTTTTGTTTGTGTGAGCATAGCGCCTACCCCATAGTTACTCGCATCCGTGTGTACCTCGAAAGGCTGAGCATAATCAGGACACGTTAGAACAGGAGCAGAAACTAAACATTCTTTTAGTTTTAAAAAGGACACATCAGCCTCCGGAGTCCACTTAAATGGAGGTGTGCCTTTTTTATTAGAAGTCAATTTATTTAAAGGGCCAGCAATTGTACTAAAATTTGGTACGAAGCGACGGTACCATGTTGCTGTGCCAAGAAAACGTTTAAGGTCCTTTCGGCTAGTAGGTGTTGGATAGTTTAATATAGCCTCGACCTTCTCGGGATCTGTGCGCAGTCCACGACTATCGACGACATAACCCAGATATTTAAGTTGGCTACGGAAAAACTTGCATTTTTCTAAATTCACGGTGAGATTAGCTTGTTTTAATTTATCTAAGACCTTTAACAAGAGTGTCACGTGACTATTATAGTCATTGCTTACAATTATTATGTCATCCAAATATGCGAAGACATTAAGGCCAAACTCGCCGAACAAAAGATCTACTAAACGCTGTTGAGTCGCGGGTGCGTTAGTTAAACCGAACGCGGTTCTTTTAAACCTGAGTGTACCTCTACCCGGAACATAAAATGCAGTCTTATCACGATCCTCGAGAGCTATATTAATCTGCCAAAAAGATTTGGATAAATCGATACTGCTAAGATAACGAGCGTCTCTAAGGTTATCCAAGATCTCAGAAATGTATGGCAAATTATAAGCATCACGCTTGGTAACTGAGTTGAGCTTGCGACTATCGAGGCAAAACCTCGGCTGACCATTATTTTTTGTTACTAAAAGGACTGGGGAAGACCAGGCACTTTCACAAGGCTCAACCACATCAAGAGCCAACATCTCATCGACCTGCTCAACCAGGATTCGTTGTTTCTCCGGAGACATGCGGTAGTAACGTTGCCGGATTGGTTGAGCATCACCGGTATCAATTCGATGGGTAATCAAAGAAGTTTGTCCTAGACCCCTACGTTCAAATGAAATGTCTTTGAATTGATCTATGATGTTATCCGCTATAAGTTTTTCAGACTCACATAAATTGTCATAGCCGTGAATTAGAGTTTCATTAGTAGTATCGTCATCGTCGCCGACTGTACCGAACGAGATGCTACCCAAATACTTAGGACATATTTGAAACTTTCGCCAAAAGTCAACACCCAAAATAAGAGAGGTTTCTATTTGTGGCACAACTACAGCGTCAATAATGTGAAACTGGTTCTCAAAATGTACAGGAATATTAATGTGACCTATGCTTTGTAAAGACTGACCACCTGCAGCTGTAACAAGAATACAGGTATCAGTAAGCAGTTTAAGACCGTTGTTCTCTAATAAAACATGAGAGTTGTCACCCAAAATGGTTACTGCGGAACCTGAGTCAAGTAGGCCAGTAAAAGAAATATTATTTATGTATTGTGTTTAGGCACAGTATGGTAGCAGCAATAAAACTAGGTTTTTGATGAAATTAGAGTAAATCTATTCAGAGATAATTTTGTTCAATGCAAACATCAGTCACTCATTCATACTTATTCATTCGTTCCTTTTTGACATTCATTCTATTGGAGAGAATCGGACGGATTGCACGTTGGAGTCTATAACCTCCACCCCAAAATTGTTTTACAATTAATTAACGTGTGTCCAATGTGTCAATATACGCAATTTGAAATTTAACAAGTGTTTCCATGAACATTTGTTTTTGGTCCATCGAGCCTTCTACATATAACAGTGAAGAGGACAGTGATCATTTGTTTTTGGTCCATCGAGTTTTATTAATCTAAGTCCATCGAGCCTTCTATAAAAGCGAAGAGGACAGTGAACATTTGTATTGGTCATCGAGCTTTCTATAAAAGTGAAATCGTGAAATTACAATATTACATGGAGTTTGGTGTGCTGCAAATTTACTCATAAAACTGAACGTTGGTGGTCATCCCACTACAACCTGAGTGCCGTCATCAATCTACCGACCGGGTGCCAATAGTCATCATATTTTATCAAAATACAAGTTCGTCGTGTGAAGAATCAAAATGGCTGAACGTATGCCGTCTCCCCGCCGAAACGCAAGACCATGAAGTTGGGCGCAGAAAGAAGCGAACATTGAACAAATGAAGAACGAACAAGAAGAACGAGGTGAACATAGGCGCTATTTCCGGAGGACATCATTCTTTACTTCTTCCCTTGTTTTAATGGCGATGGACTTATTCTGTTTCGCCACTAAGTGCATAAAGGTCATTCATTTCTTCCGTTCCTTCCCGCGTTTTTATATAGTTGGCGTCCTGTCATCTCGATGGCTCCTACGAATATGGGCGAAACTGCCGCTTACGCCTTTTTCCAATTATTTAAGCAATGATTTAATTTTGCCCTAATCTATAACTTCAGTAAAAAAAAAAAATTTTTTTTCGATTAAATACAAAATAAAATTTTAGGCAAATAGGCGTATGTGCCAAATTTCGTCACGTATAAAGCCCAATCACACGGTTCGCCCATCTACAGCGCTGAGAAGTCACGCCGGGGGCGCGGCGCGCGGGCGGAGGTGCCGCTTCGGTCGTTTTACTCAGTGTCGCGGCCACGTCCGTTACAGTTGCATTGCTCGTGCGTTGTAGCGTAATAATGTTANCATAATCTCCAACATGCTTGATAAACTGACATGATTTAATTTTTCGGTTTTTGCATTCAATTACAAATTCCTCCATAACACTGGTATCTGGTTCCGGAACCTGATGTTTTGTGCTGCCGACTTTTGAACGATTGGATTTTTTTCAGTAGCATTCTACTGATGTGCAAGATGTCTCTTCACTGCGACGATGCAACTACATTAAAAATGCAACAGCATGTTTGCAGCCCCCTGCTGCAGCTGGACAATCTTGACAAACAACATAATCTCTTCTTCTTCATCAATGACTGCTGAAACTGATACTGCTTAGAGTGCACCTTATGTTCAGGACACATTTTACATTTCACATTGTAGATTTTACTTTCCCTTTTAAGTTGAACATAACCAATTGCATCATCACCATAATATGATTCTCCTGCAGACCTGAAAAATAATATAATAGTTTAGCAATAAGTAGTTGGTCAGAGGTTAGAATACACTTATTATCTATTTGTGGCACAACTACAGCGTCAATAATGTGAAACTGGTTCTCAAAATGTACAGGAATATTAATGTGACCTATGCTTTGTAAAGACTGACCACCTGCAGCTGTAACAAGAATACAGGTATCAGTAAGCAGTTTAAGACCGTTGTTCTCTAATAAAACATGAGAGTTGTCACCCAAAATGGTTACTGCGGAACCTGAGTCAAGTAGACCAGTAAAAGAAATATTATTTATATTGACTGTGACAAAAGGTCTCGTATCATTAACTGGTTTGCTGCGAATTGTAGCAGTTTTATATGAACTGAAAAATAATTTGAGTGTTGAGTTCGTTTTGGGCAGCCTTCGGGAGTGGACGTGCGCAACACGTGCGCTCCAGACGGTCCGACCCTAATGGGCACTTACAAAGCCCAATGGCATTTGACGCCGACGCGACGGTGAAACCCAAATGTTCTAACAGTGAATTACCCGAAATCATAGTCGCGATTAACTATTAACATAGTCAGATATGCAAAAAAATTGTGGTTATAGATCATTTTTTTGTGTGAGAAAAACTGTAGGTGAGAAAAAAGCATCGAGTAGGTGACAGTCACCAGCACAGCGCCTAAGCATATA